TATATATATATATATGTGTGTGTGTGTGTGTGTGCAGGTGTGTTTGTAAAAATATATCGCAATGTTGAGCTAATCATCTCCATTTCCTCCAGCAGCAGGGCAGCACACTCGCCCAAGTGCAGCAACAGGCGCAGGCTCAAGTCCAGGCACAATTACAGGCTGGTACTTCGGGAAGAACGGCACAGTCCACTGCAACACTCACAGCCTATCAGCGTAGCTACTTACTACAACAACAGCAGCAGCTGCTGCAACATCAGCAACAACAGCAACAACGCCAGAAACAGGTATAAAGGAGGGTGTGAACCCTACGTATCACAAGTGAGTGTGGGCGTTTTTAGAGTCATCTGTGTGAGTCTGGTTAAGTGTTTGTTCTGGGTATGTGTTTTGTTTGTGTGAGTCTGGGTAAGTGTTTTGTGTGTGTGTGTGTTTGTACGAGTGTTTGTTTGTGGGTGCTGGCATGTCCTGCATGACCTTATATCATGAAGCCATATCTATTGACTTGATAGTAGGCAATACTATTGAGCTAGATATTCGTGTACCATACTACACCACCCTCACTCATTTTTTTATTGTACTTGCCTACTCTTATACTATTTTATCTCAGACCCACGCCCAAGCTCAGGCTCAAGTCCCGGCAGCAGCGGGCAACACACAGCAGCCCCAGACACAGACACAGACAGCACCTACCACAACAGCAACCCAGGCGGACACAAACACAAACGCGCCTGCACTCCCAGCCGGGCAAATCCATGCAACGGTACAAACGCATACACCGACACGCGCACTGGCACAGACTTATCAGCAGATGTATGCTATGCCTACTCTCCAGGTTCAGGCTCATGCAGGAACTTATGGTCATGCGGCGACCGGGACCCTGCAGGCTACGTACGCACAGACACAAGCAAGTGTAACACCACCACCACAACAACAGCAGCAGCAGCAGCAGCAGCAGCAGCAGCAACAGCAACAGGAACAACAGCAGCAACAGGAACAACAGCTGCAACAACAGCTGCTGACGCAACAACACGAAGCACGAGTAGGTCAGCAGTTGCAAAGGCTCGCCCAGACTGGTACGGCACAAACACAGCCGCAACCCCAGGCACGGACGCCGGCGGAGCTTCATGCGCAGGCGGTGGCACTGGCTGGTAGGCAAGCACGGGCGAGACAATTAACATCAAGTCAAACGCAACCACAGACACACACCCAGACCCAAACAGAGACACCTGTATACGCTACCACGGCCACACCTGGGCAGAGTAGTACTATTACAGCTGCGGCGGCTGCGGTACCACGGACACAACCCCAGACACGCACACAGGCCCAGGTGTACACACCTACACCTACGGTGACACAGTCACACACGCCGTTGGCGGCAACCGGACAAGCATCACTGGCAACTGCTCAAGCTCAAACCCAGCCTCAGCCTCAGCCTCAAGCGACGGGGGATGGGGAGACCGCGGCTATGACAGCTACAACGACAACTACAACTACAACTACACCTACACCGATCACTACCACCACACTACCAACGCCAGGCACGCCTACTGTACCGAGCGCCTCTTCGCCTCAGCCGGGTGTAGCCGCTAGTAGCAGTGGCACCGGAGGGGATGGGGCAGGGACGGCCAGGTAGTGAAGTATAGTGTGTAGTATATGCTAGAGATGATATCTGCCGATCGATATAGATGATAAGGATTGTCTAGGTGGAGTGGCATGGCGTGTAGTGACGTACGTATTGTATCGACCTCGCTGCGTACTGGTGCATAATAGATGCTCCTGATTAAGTATTTTCCTGATGGTACCTAATCAAGTCACAGAAGGCTTTTTACTCGGGAAATAAAACTGACAGGCGTCAAATAGGAAATTTTGCAAGTTAGTAGCTAGCGTGTGTGCACCACATGATATCTTCATTTAGCTATCGGCCAGTAACCCGGACGCGACATTGCCTATTCTAATAAAATCACACAGCCGAATTCTAGCAACTATTTCCAACCCAAAAAGCCTGTGCTATTACGAGTACGGTTTGTTGCGCAAAAAAAATCAAGTATGTGCGTGTAAGTAAAAGCCAAGGATACTTCTATGTTCGTTTTTGAGTAATTCGTACATAAACTCGGGGCACCGGTGGCTGAAACTGACTTTTAGAAAATCAAATTATAACTAAATCGTATTTGCATTAGCAAGGCATAGTCTCATCGCTAGTAGATAACTTCACACGCCGTATGCGAACCTCAGTCAGATTGAATCGATGCCACATATCAGCATTTGGTTGCAGAAATTCGAAATCCACGCTGAGTTTAGGTGCTGAGAGTGTGTCGCTCTGAATTATCGTTATCTTGTTGCAGTAGTTGATGTTCAATGTCCACCAGTTACCAGAAGAGCCTTGTATTCGGCTATTGTTTTGGCCTAAGTAGGGTGTCGAGCTCAACTTTCACCCTCGTGAGATATTCAGCATCAGGGTAAGCTCCATTACTTATACCGCCAGTACGTCTTTCCTTCAACTCGACAGCACACTCCAGCTTCGTTTTGAAATTCGTATTTTTGACATTGACGCACTGTGCGGTTTTCAGAAGCAATCCACGTGTGAAGGCTTCCGCAAACAGCAGCCAAACACGCTCTCCCTCGGCATTGTTTGGGAAGTAAGCCTTCTGTGATTGCCCAGTATCCATTTCTATCATGACCAACGTTGTACCATCTCTGGGGTATCCCAATAGGGAGCTAGTGGCGAACTTGATGTGCATGACTCCCTTGTGTATTTCACTGCGCCATCTGATTTGCTTGATACTCGTGCCCTCCGTTCTATGAGTTTGTCCTAAATTAGGAGCACTTACTGTGCTAATCAACCTCGAACTTCTGCTCGTGGACGGCATATTTACGGGCATGAGTGCTCTAGGCGAATCCAATTGCATATTAATACAACCATCAATCTGTTTCACATTAGCTTCTCCAGTCGTGGCTCGGGTGTCGTTCAACGATAGAATATGTTGCAACATGGCCATACCATCCTGCATGTGCATTGCGCGAGTTTGCTCTTCTTCCTGCTGCGTTCGCAACCCCGATTCCGTAAATAAAATCGATGGAGAGTCTTTACTTTCTAAACTTTGAAGATTTGCCCTGGTAAGGGTCTCATCAGATCCTGAAATAAGTCGGTGTATATTCGGTGACGAGCCTCTCCTACGTTCATATCTGGACTTGACTCCATATGTATACGGTGCAGATAATCCTCGATTTCGTCTATAAACATACGGAGCCGACGTATGCCGTTGCATCTGTGTAGTATTGAGCCATGGACGCGACTGAAGGGGTGCTATCATATCACGTACTACAGTTGATTCCTCCGCTGCAAAAGATTCGCCATCGAAGGAAAAATGTGCGGTGTGTGAGCGAGGGGTGTGTTCCAGTCTTGCTGAGGGGCGAAAATAGTTTTCACTAGTACTATTTATCAGGGGCATTGCATCGTGTATTGTATTAGTACCAAGATACTGTCGTTGTCGCGGTATCTGTCCCTCTTGTTGTTGGTTCGGTTGACGTCTTAACACGTCTGGATATTGGGTAGTTGTTTGATTATCTCGCCATTGTGCCGACAAACGAGACTTATGAGATGAGAGTGTACCCACATCTGTGCTAACAACACTGATCGACGGCAGCTCCAAAGCAGGTAGTGATGGCGAGCCATAATTGGGCGGTAGACGACTTCTCTCTACCGGGTTGGACTGAATACTAGTTATATTCTCGACCAAATCCCGCGGTGCTTGTACAGACAACTCATTTTGTCTTTGTGAATTATGCGATATATTATCTTGAATATATTGTCGACTGTTCGGTAGCATGAATGTGGTCATATGTGACGTTAATGGTATCGGCTTTGAAAGCTGGGTGTTCGACTTGATATCTGACTCACTGATCATCTCCGAAGATGGCAGACCTTCGCACATCCCAGGTTCCATACGAGCTCTATAGTTGTACGTACTAAGAAGAGTATTGCCGTTATCGTTTGTTTGATTGGTTCGCATTAGCAGATCAAGAATAGTAGAGTCAGTGTTTTGGGCATGAAGTTGACTCTCGGGTCGATTCAAGTTAGCCGAATCATGCCTGCTAATACCAACAACATCTAACCCTAGATCCGCAGCTAAAGGATGATCTTGTACAGTGTTTGCACCTCCTTTTCTACTAACTCTATCACTCTCGGAACTTTGTTCATTAATGAGTAACAGGTTCGAGTTCTCCCGATCGTTTGACATAGCGTTCGCCTTTCTATAAACTTTCCGCATTCCGCTGTTGATTTTCGAATAATATATATATATATCTATACATATATATATATATATATATATATATATATATATATATATATATATATATATATATATATTATATTATATATNTATA